GCATACGGTGGGATGATCATGTCCTTGCCTATACGACCCATTCGAGCCAAAATGGGTCTATGCCTATGTACATGATAAAACAAATAAATAGAACTACTTCTATTACAATTTTATTTTATCTACCCGTACAAGCACAGGCCTTCGAGATATACAACTTGTAACATTACCCACATATGCGTGGGCCTTCCGCATCGAAAGGTCTCCACCTTGATCTAATCTTTTAACGATACAAAAATTTAAAATTTTACAAACAATAAATCAAGAGACTCGCAGGTCTCGATAAATTATATTCGTTTAATCGCATTAAATAAAAATGCAACCATCAATCATATTGAATAAAAATGCAATCATTCATCATTATGAATAAAAGGCTCATGATCATCCCATTAATCACATGAATTAAAAAATAAAAAATAAAAAAAAAATTATTAAGTCATACGACCCGTGTGACAAAGTCACACGACCCGTATGTGTCCACACGACCCGTGTGATCCTATCACACGACCCGTGTGAAAAACCCGTAAGAAAAAATCAATTTTTTTCTTAAGTCACACGACCCGTGTGGTCAAGGACACGGCTGTGGAGCCACACGACCCGTGTGACACCTCACACGACCCGTGTGGCTAAAAAATCGTTTTTTTTGTTATTTATTTTGATAATTAATATGTTTATCATATAAACATTTAATTATCATATAAACTTAAACAAATCAAAATCTATTTTTTAAGATGCTAATTGTAACGTGGCTCTGATACCACTGTTGGGCTCAATATACCGTACGGAACAGAGTTTACAGCGGAATTTAAAATTTTTTAAGTATTTATCTTATAAATACTTATTCCGTACATAAGTATAACGATATAACGAATAAGCATCATTTAAAATCTAGTAACTTTTACTAATTTTGATTTGATATGTAATTTATAAAAATTACCTTTGTTCTTGAACTCCTTCAAAACCGACGATGTATGAGGAAATCAATTCCCGGTTTGGTAACGATCACTTCTTGTGGTTACTCACTTTAGGAATCCATATGTCTTCCCTCTAATCGTATCCACCTTTTGAAGTCCGGTTCCGACAATAGTTCCTTCGCTAGTAGAAACTACTCGGTTTTATTCAATAAGTATGGAATATATATTTATAAGGAAATTTTTCAAGAACACTTTCTTGTATTATCACTCAACTCTTTGAATGAATTTTTTTCTTGGAAGAATTTAGCTCAAAAACTTAGCCATTTATGTGCAAACATTTTGCACCTATTTATACTAAACATTTTAGCATAAAATAATCAATATTTGATATATTTTATTTTAAATAAAATCAGATTTTATTTAAATAATCATACCAAATATTGACTTTTAATTAATAATGTGATTGGTTTATAACCACCATCAATCATTATTATTGTATTAATAAAAATAAGATTAATTATGTGGATAAGTTAATAACTCCTAACCACCATAATTAATTTATTCTTATTATTATTTAATCTTCAATCATATTAAAGATAAATAATAAAATAATAATTCTTGAAAACATTTTTCAAGACTTTATTATTTTAATCTATTCTTCCATTTCCTTATTTAATAATCTTATTATTATTTGGATTTGAAATTTAAAATCCAATTTTAAATTCCAATTATTAATTAGTAGTTCTATTAATTACTAAATTAATATCCAAAATTCAATTAATCAATCTAATTGATTAATTTAATATATTCCTTTAATTGATATCTAATCAAATTAGATTTGTCAATTAATTCTAACTCTTTAGAAATACTATTTGAATTTTACCTTCATTCAAAAAGTGGTGTGACCTTTTAGGTTCACAATTAATACTAGTAGTGGGTTTACAACTCTTGTAATTTGAGTTATTCATATTAACTCTTATTCTTGAATTAACTCTTTAATTCAAGAACTCACATATTATGGGAACATCTAGCAAGTAGCATGAATCTAGTATTAAGTGAATAGCGAGTAA